CATGTCCGTCCGTCTGTATGTCCGTCTGTGACTTCACAAGTTTTTGTCGACGAGAAAGTGCGCTCTCTGTCACTCACTGCAGTGAGTACTGAGTTATATTTTTTTTAATAATTACTTAGCTAATTATTTATTTAATAACATTAATTCTTTATTATTGTTATGCGATCAAAAGTTATGGACGTCTGAAAAGTTTCAGCTCTTCAATTTAAAAAGAATTATTCTCTAGACTTTGTTATTACTAAACTCGTATTATATACATGAAAGAATAGGAAAAATTAAATAATTATATATGTGGATGATGCTGTGTTACATTATTTAATTTGTATTTAATAAATCATTTAAGATATTTCCGGCATAGTCAATGAAACAAAGTTTAGTTTATGTCGCATCTCATTTTATATCTTACGAATCATCTAATTAGTCGCGCATTATTCCGAATTCTGAGCATTACTGTAGAATCTACACACCATAACAAAATTTAGAGGCGTGAGCAACCCGACATTAACATTAGGATTAGGGCCGCCCAGGACTCGTCTGGGAGCACGTAAATCAGCTTCTCCATGTCCGCTTCGGCTCAGGGTTCGGAAGTAGTTGGCTGGGGTTTGGGGAAGTTGGATGGCTCGATATGACGGAGTGCGCGACCCTGCATAAGGGCCGCCTAGGACTCTGGGAGCACGTAAATCAGCCGCTCATAATCGCTTCGGTTCTGAGTTTGAAAGGCAGCCTCTGTGCAGGTTGAAAGCTTGGTATGAATAGGCCATACGATTGATAGTCATGTTTATTTGATGGAATGATAGTCTGGCATGGCTCAGTGGATGATGGAATGGTAATCCGGCATGTTTCATTGGATGATGGAATGGTAGTCTGGCAAGACTGGCATGGCTCAGTGAATGATGGAATGGTAATCCGGCATAGTTCAGTGAATGATGGAATGGTAGTCTGGCATGGCTCAGTGGATAATGGAATGGTAGTCCGGCATGGCTCATTGGATGGTGGAATGGTAGTTTGGCATGGCTCAGTGGATGATGGAATGGTAGTCTGGCATGGCTCAAATGTCGCAGGCGCTTGGAAAAACTTTTACTACTGTTAAGTGAGTGCTGAAATCTAATGTATATTCATCAGAACTAAAACTATCAGGGTTTTCCTTTAAACCTCTACCCTGATGTTCCTCCCCACAGTATCGGGCAGGTGGGGTGGCGTGTGTGACGACCTGTGGGACTTGGCAGATGGGGATGTGGTTTGCCGACAACTGGGCTTCCCTCTGGGAGCCAAGGAAGTCCACGGTGGGAGCAGGTAAACAGAACAATGCATGCTTCGTAAACTGATTTCAGTATATCTCAAGCGCGTGCTTAGAAAATACATTTTTTCCAAACACTGGACTTTAAACTTTATACCAACAAATAATTTTATTCCTCATGATGATTTTGGAGTTACGGGTCGATGAACAACTCAAAAATCGAACTGCATGAATCAGAAATCATAAATGAATGGTGTTTAAAATACAGGTAAAATGCGCTATGAATAAGGTAGTAAACTTCACAACCGACCTGAATATGGGAGGAATTTTACATCATCAATTACAAAAATGATGGAGTCAATACTAAAAATGACAATTTAAACAGATAATAACATCAATGAATATTAGGTTCGCAGCCTTAGCTGTTCTCTCCTTCGTGGCCGGCCCTAACATGGAGGGAAATTTACATCAACAACTACATAAATAAGTCAATAATTAGAATGTCTATTGAATGAATAAAACAGCAAAAAACATGCAAATTAAACATCTATAGACGTCAATAAATCTCAGGTACGGCAGCGTATTAGATAGCGGACGCTCCGTATACTTCATGGACGACCTAAACTGCGGAGGAGAAGAAGCCGGACTGCAGTTCTGCGACTTCGCTGGCTGGGGAGAGCACGACTGTGGACCTCGTGAGGTGATTATCTCCATTTGTCTATTAAATTTTATATGTGAAAGACCATTGATTTATCTGTATTATCTATCTATCGTTGTATCTATCATTGATCTATCTGTGGAGTAAAAATATAAAATACCATAGGTTGTATGGTCCTAAGTTCTGTAATATTGAACTATTTAAATGCCGATCAATACTATTTATGAATTAGAGTTTTCGAATTTCAGCGATGAATCCAGTTAACATTACTTATGAATATGATAACTTGAAAGACAGTGTTAACATGAACACTTAAAAACCCAATAAATTATTAGGTTTTTATTTATAATAATAATAAATTATTATAAACACTTAAAAACCCAATAATATTTTGTTGCAAATGGGTTATGGATCTATATTTTTCAATAATTATGATTAATATGGATGTCGGTGCACAGAGCGCGAGCGTGCAGTGTGCAGTGGAGGGCAGTTCGTGCAGCAGCGCGGCGCAGTTTCGCTGCCGTAACCAGCGCTGCATCGACCATGCCCTGCTCTGTGACGGCTTCAATGACTGCTTCGACAACTCTGATGAGAGCCAGCAGCTCTGTAGTGTCAGTCTTGTATACCATTCGCTTATGTTATGGACAAGTTGATGTAACAAGCTATTACCATTATTTAAGGTTTTTGATAATAATAACCTTGAAATNGTTATCATTTAACTAAAGAACTTCACAGGTAGTGTGCAGGGCTGCAGGCTACGGAGGAGCTACTGTCATATTCAAGAACAATACATTTGGACCGGGTGAGCTAAGTTTAAATTAATGAAGAAAACCTTTGCTTTAATTGACGATTTACGTGATATGAATCAAGTTAAAAACTGGTCTGTGTCGTAATTAGTAGCTATTTGGTTTTACAGGGTAATTCACGGAAACTTCTTGATTTGACAGCCCAATAAAAAAAGAACTACCTAAGATATCATTATGATAAAAATTTTATTGAAAAAAGACACCTGAATTTTTGCATCACGATGTTTTAAAAATGACATCGTACAATTGACGGCCCCCATTGTCAATGCATTCAGTTATTCGATTTTTGAAGTTCCGTTATACTCACTGAAGAATTGACAGGTATGTTGGCGTATGTTGTTCTTCAAACGAGGTATGGTCCTTGGACAGTCATTGTAAACAATTGATTTAAGATAACCCCATAAAAAAATTACACGGAGCCAAATCGGGGAATCGGACCGGCCAAAGAAGGTCACTACTCAATGAGATGAGGCGCTGTGCAAAATGGCTATAAGAAAAGAAAGCCTCGACAGCAAACACACACTGCTCACTTGTCCAATGCATAGTGGTAACTGACTAGGCGTGACACTAAACTTCACGACCTTGCCTTTCGTATGAAATACTCTTCGCCTTTATTTTTACTTTATTGTACTCAGTAACCAATACGATCTCTGTTACTGTACTCGGTAACCAATACGATCTGAGATGATCAATACGATCTGAAGAAATAGGCTCAATACCATGGGCCTATTTCTTCAGTGCCGACACTTCTATTCTATTCTTAGTGTACTCATTAACCAATACGATCTCTGCTGATCTGCTTCTTTATCTCTGTGACACAGGCGCAGGCAAGATTTGGTTGGACGACGTGCGGTGTCAGGGCCACGAGACGTCCCCAGATCAGTGCACCCACCGTGGCTGGGGACTCAGCAACTGCGACCACAGCGAAGACGTCGGCGTCAGATGCCTGAGGACGCCACGAGCAGACGCTCCTGCCGGCGGTGTACGTATTTTTTCATCATGATAAATTGCTTAAGTAAAATAAATTGCTTCAATTGATAAAATTTACAGCCTTTCGTTCGTATTATGAGGAAATTGTTCAGTTATTTTAGATCTGCTCACTTTAGGTATTCCTGAATATGATGCGCGATGAGTTTTTGGTTTGCTAATCGTGTCGAATGTCGACCCACTGGTGATCTAATTTTCCAATTTTAATTTTTGTTATAACGACGTAACTTGTGGGAGAAGTATTGTGATTTTTGTGACGCACGATTTCGTTTCATAGAATACCAGAACAAAGTCTATGCAATTTGAACGTGTTAGCATTGGGGAATTTTTGTTGGTACTTCGAATACGGGACGACTCGTAGGCGGAAATCCGTTCTCGTGTATCGGTTGTGACCACCGTAGAAACAATGCAAGTGGCTGACATATGATGAACGTACTGAAGTTAACTTAAGATTTTCATAGCAGTAGCCTAGTTGGATAAAGCACCATAACCTTTGCAATAAACTTCTACTGCTGATGAAGCCACTTTATCAATATTACTTATCGATGTAGCAATACATTACATCTAGAAGGAGAATCTTTTGGTTCGAAAAAAAATCTTGTTAACTATGGTACTAGTTGCACATTTTTCCCAGTGAAACATTCTCTCTTGGAGCAAATTATGCATGAATATCATGAATTTTTTTATCAGAGCGGGGGAGCTTCGTTGTCACCCCCACCGACAGCAGCGCTGGGCGGGCTGCTACCGGAGGCCTGTGGCATGCGCTTCGTGGAAGACCGACCGATCTCCCTCACCGAGTCTGCTAGAGTGGTGGGGGGCTACAGCCCTAGACCGGGGGCACATCCATGGATGGTGAGTAGGAAGTAGAGGCTGGATGTGCACATTTATAAGGTGGATGGAGAGAAAATGGGCTAGGTCCTCTCCCTTGTATGGTAGGTGGAGAGCAAGCTATATAGAGCTTGGTGTACATACTTATATGATAGATGGAGATAAAATGTGCTAGGTCCTTTCTGGTGGATGGCGGGTGAAGTTAAGAGCCTGGAGAGTAAACCATTGTTTGGTAGAAGCCTGGAGTAGACCATTGTTTGGTGGGAGCCTGGAGTCAACCATTGTTTGGTGGAAGCCTGGAGTCAACCATTGTTTGGTGGAAGCCTGGAGTAAACCATTGTTTGGTGGATTTTGTGATAAGGTGGAATGAATGGTAAATGAAAGGAAGCGTCGAGTACATACCTCTGAATTGTGGACGGGAATTAAGCCCCGGATGTAAATTCTCGTATGAAGAGTGGAAAAGAAAATGTCGAGTGTAACTATATTATATCGTGTACCTAATATCCTATAAAACAAAAGTTATATTGATATTATGTAAAAAAATTTAGTACCAGAGTTGTACTGCAGGTTGGAGTACGCGTGCGAACGAGCAGTGGTTCTCAGCACTGGTGCGGTGGTGCAGTGTTGACTGCTGCTCACTGCATCGCATATCCTACCTCTACCTTCATCGTCCGGGTCGGCGACTACGATAACGAGGTGAACATACGATTTTTTTGGACACTCATTTCTCTTCAAAATCGAAATTTTTAGTCGCTTCCGTTCAAACCGTCCATACAAAAGACATTTAGTCAGCATTTTTTGGAGTAATTTTCGTAGCAGATAGAATTTCATTTTTGCAATTTTGTATTTTCAACACAAAAACGTATTACAGTGCTATTAGTATTCCAGCAGATAACGATGATTAGCTACTGACCCATTAAGAATCGATCACAGTTTGTCTTGGACATCAAAATAATAAAAATTAATAAATAATTATAAATGCTTTAAAAAATTTGCCTTGAAATACCTTAATCAAATCTTCCTTGCGATCAACTATCAAGCTCCGGCTGAGAGCGCGTGAGAGCTGGCTGAGTTTTTATCCTGTTTCGTTTAATGAGTGGTTATTATCGTTTAATGAGTTGTTATAATCGTTTAATGAGTTGTTATAATCCTTTAATGAGTTGTTATAATCCTTTAATGAGTTTTTATAATCGTTTAATGAGTTGTTTATAATCGTTTAATGAGTTGTTTATAATCGTTTAATGAGTTGTTATAATCGTTTAATGAGTTGTTATAATCGTTTAATGAGTTGTTATAATCCTCTAATGAGTTACTATTATACTTTAAGTTCATTGTTTATTCTCAGGAACAAGAGTCCTATGAGAAGGACTTCTTCGTGGAGCGGGCCATTAAACACCCAGAGTTCGACGTGGGTCCATTCTACAACAACGATATCGCGCTCCTCATCATTAAGAGGAAAAATGGAGAGGGCATATCGTACGTATTTCAATTCATACTCAAAATGTAACGCATTATATTTTATTTATTTGAAAATAGCATACTAAATTGAAAGTTCTTGTTTCATGTTTTATGGATATTGCAAAATGCACCGGTTAAAACATTAAAAAAATTAATTGATCGCACAATTGCGTTGTATGAAAATTATTCGAATTTTATTACACTTCTAAAGAACTTTTTCGTGAAAATTTAACAATTTATTGAAGTTTTTGCATTAAATAATACCAAAATTTTGAGCAGATTAAGAATATTCAGTAATCGAAGTTAAACTGAGTGCAGGTTCAGCGAGCGAGTGCAGCCGCTGTGCGTCGTGACGCAGGACTTCAGTTACCAGCCTGGACTGAACTGCACGGTCTCTGGCTGGGGGGCTGTCGGCCAGGACAGAAGTGAGTCTAATTTACTCACTTTTAGGTGAGTCGAAGTTACTCACTTTTAGGTGAGTCGAATTTACTCACGTGTAAGTGAGTCGAAATTACTCACGTTGGAATGAGTCGAAGTTACTCACTTTTAAGTGAGTTGAAATTACTCACGTTGAAATGAGTCGAAGTTACTCACTTTTAAGTGAGTTGAAATTACTCACGTTGAAATGAGTCGAAGTTACTCACGTTGAAGTGAGTCGTCGCATCGCCAGCTTACTTGAGTATACACGGTTAAACGTCACATCCAAGTTACAATTAAATTGTTGTCTCCTTCTTGTTTGAATGAAAGATAAAATACTATGATGGATCTAAATTGATATTGGTCCATAAAACTCTTATCAATCCAATAAGAAAATACTGCAATAAATTCGGCAAATGTAATTCCAACAAAAAAATATGAGAACAAACAGACTTTACACGATGTCTCTAACGAAAACTATCAGAACTAATTTAAATAAGAAGCAAGACGCATCCAGCAAGAAATAATATTAAAATTAAATTAATGTAAACATTAAACATGCTATTCGCGCTCGTTGCTGTCGACGGTGTTGCCCATCAACCCATACACTAAAATTAATGTTAATTAATTTTAAAATTAATGTAAAATTATTGTAAACATTGTTTGAAGTGCACAATACGGCAGGTTTCTCGCGCTCACTGCTGTCGACTGTGATGCCCGTTATCCCTCACACTAAAGTTAATGTAAATTAATTTTAAAATTAATGTAAATTAATTTTTAAATTAATGTAAAATTTTAAAATTAATGTAAATTAATGTTTAAATTAATGTAAAATTATAAAATAAATGTAAACACTAATCGAAATACTCAACACGCGCAGGTTTCTCGCGCTCGCTGCTGTCGACGATGCTCCCCATCATCCCGGACTCGGTGTGTCGCAGCGAGCGCGTCTTCGGCGCCACGAGACTCTCGGCGGGCATGTTCTGCGCCGGCCACCTGGAGGGCGGCATAGACACCTGCCAGGGTGACAGCGGGGGACCTCTGGTGTGCCAGCACAACGGTGAGTTGTGTGATGTGTCAGCACAACGGTGGGTTGTGTGGTGTGTGCCAGCACAACGGTGGGTTGTGTGTCAGGCCGATTGACCGCCGTGGGGATCACGAGTTGGGGACACGGCTGTGCTCGTCCCAACAAACCCGGCGTCTACACCCGCCTGGCAAACTATCTGCCATGGCTCTACTCTGTCCTCAAACCCTGAGTGAGCTGCTCAATTTGCCATCAAACCGCGACAAACATCTCATTTTACTGTCACATTACCAGAACGTCTGTTGCGCCCTCAACCATTTCCCTCGAACTCCGCCAGTCCCTCAGATCTGAACTGAAATCGTGAGCTCTATTATTCATACGATGTATGTATGAGCATGCTATGCGCCGACTTCACCCTCTAACTGCATACTAACTTTCGTATCCAGATGCCAGATTTGTGAACCTACTAGCTATGACTTGTCCAAAATATTTCTTGTTGCGACAACTTAGGCGTGAACTCGTGCAGTGAGGCTCGTTGCCTGACCGTGAGAATGTTTGAGGTTCTGAATGTAGAATGAAATTTGTTCTCCATAAGACCGGAAAATGTAACGCTCGAAATTATATTTTTCATCTAGACTCCTTTCTTCATTGCCATTTCGGTGCGATCATTCAGGGTACTCTTTCATACACGACAGTGACGTGAAATTAAAGATGCAATTTTTTGTGCAAAAACTCAAGAGCTTGGACGGCAAAATGTTGGCGACCAATTTAAGGTGAAAATTGTAATCAGTGAAAGTTAATACGAAATTTTTCTCCGGTAAATCACGACAAAATCTGTAAAGATCCTTCTGAAACCCTAAACCTAAGCACTTTCATACTAAATTCAAAAAATGAACGTGGTCTAAATTTTTTTCCAGTGTCTCTAATAGAGGCACCGCAATGGTAAAAATATTTGAGTAAATCCGGTGAAGCTTATGATCTTCATTCTTCACATGAAGGAAACAGTTTCAATACAAAGTCTGAGGAGAAAAGTCTAATCTGCAGTTATACAAAGCCATTATCTTGAAGTTCTTTTCATAGTCGAAAACTTTCTATCAAGAAAACCATACGAAGAAGTAAATACAATGACAACAAACTGCAAACAACACTCAGACTGAAGTAGTTAGTCACTGGCTCACTATTTTATCAGGTCATTCAAAAAAGACAAAAAAATTCATAGCTATTAATACATTGTCTCGCTCATTCCCCCGAGAGCGTAAATCAAAGCAATCGAGTAATTAGTAGAATGGTTTACTAGCGCTTCAACTTTCAAGCTATTTCGCACCGGAGGTCAATAGTTTACCTCGCCAGCGAGGCGGAAGATCTCAATTATTCAATCGACCAGATTGCTTTGATTTACCAATACCTTTTTACGAGCAAATATGTTTTTTAAGGGCCTCTGATGTAGCAGGATAGTAGAAAAACTCATAACATAATAGAGTGAATGGGAAAAATGCTCTTAAACATATTATAGTGAAAACATTCAAGCAATTGAGAACGTCAGTTTTAAACACATATTGGTGCAAAAACGCCACAAAAATATGGTTTTAAGGCTTAAGAACCAAATTAGTCTCGTTTATTTTTTAGAAATAAATTTTAGTTACTACGTGTTGAATCACGACCACACTTTCTAATGAAGAATTATGATTGAGAACCGAGAAAGACCATCTAGATCCTAGAATATAGTATAGACCATAAAAGATTGTAGAGCATAATTGTTCTGAAATAAGTCAATTACCATACACTGAAACATCAGACGAACATTAAAAGTTAACCATTTCAAAGTACAAAGGTCACCTTTTCTCTCTATCTTTCGTCGTTGCAATATGTTCCAACAGTTCTATTAAATAAATTTCTAATCGCTACTTTGCTTAGTCTATAGCATACAAAATGAACACATTTTTAGATAAATGAGATCACACCGTTGAGAAAGGCACGCATTGCAAGTTAAGTTACCTTAATCTACCACACTTTCTTACCATAAAATGGTCCCGTTGTTTCATATTATTAATGTCGTTAGCTAATAAATGCTTTAACATCGAAGCAGAATCTACAAAGTAATGACACAACACTATCGACGTGTTATTCACAGTTCTTAGATACGGTTTGAATTATTCAGGTTACCGTTCATGAACACCACATGGTCCTGATACACTAAGAGACTATAGTAATTGTACCTGATGAGTAATCTACGGCCTGAAGCAAGCACCGACACACAAAAAAATATTGAGAAAGTTCAACGGATATCGAATAAACCTAACCTAAAACACGTGCACTGTTCAAAGCAAGTAATTGCAATAGCCAATAAAAAAACCTACGTATTTGGTGCCACATCGACCAAACCGATCCCTGCTGAGTGATTAAAGTTAATAAATACCAACAACTTTAATTTGTAACAAAAAAGTTATCTCGTTTACGCATAATTTCAAGCTTCATATATTGGATTAATAACATGAAATGATTACAGTAAAAATTTACTTGTTGGTAAATTTTTTTTCAAATAATCATAATGAACTTTTAATTGGAAAAAATTTTGCTGCAGGTGAACGGAAAAAAGTTTGCTCTCTTGTCCATGGCAGAAAACATATTTAGACAATCAACAACTTATTTTGAAGCAAAGCCTGGAAAACATGGTTGAAAGTAATCAACATTCTAAACTTTCAAACAATTAACGACGAAAGAAAACCACTCGTGCCATTATACTATTAAAGAACTGGGTATTAAAATATGACTATAAATAATGTGCTCGCACAATGAAGACCATAAAGGAATCTTTAATGATCAATCAATTAAAAAGACGAAGAGCTTTTGTTGTCAACTGACGCTCCTGATAACGGCTAGGCTGCAGACTCAGCGCTGTCGCTGCGCTCTTCATCCAAAATATCTTCCGAAATTTCATCAGCTTCTGACGAATGGTCGAAAGGGTCGTCAGAATAAGTTCCAACTTGGTCATGTTGTTTGAGGTTTACATCTTCATCATGATCTTCGGAATGAGTTACAGCTTGGTCAGGTTCTTTGGAGTTTACATCTTCATGGTCTTCGGAATGAGTTACAGCTCGGTCATGTTC